ACCTAAAGGAAGACTAAGGGAAGGTTGTTCTTTTAGCAAGGTGAAGCAAGGAGTTGCTTCACGTAAATGTTTGATCTCCACTCATAAGGAGGTGCACTAGTGGATTGGGAAGTCTCAAGAGGAGTCTTGAGTTGTGGAGTAGCAGTTTTCAAACCTCGTTAAAATCGCCGTGTGAATGTTTGCAAATCTCTCTTCCCTTATCTCCTTTACATTTATGCTATTAATTGTTTATGTCTATATATTGATAATTGTATAATTATTAAAATGATTTTAGTAAAATTTGCAAAACTGAAAATTGGCCATTGTTTGCCAAAGACTCTATTTACCCCCCTCTAGAGTCAATACTTGGGCAACAATGGTCCTCACCGTCTCTTCGATCGGCATTAATGAATTGGGCTGGTGGCAATAATTGAAATATGATGCCTTGTTTAGTGTTTAATTGGGTGAAGAATATTTAAATGCCCTTTTAATGATGGAAGGGGAGAAGAGAGCCAGGGGGAAGAAGCTACGGGTGCCTCTGGGTGCTGTTTGCCTTTGATGGCTAGACACCATCTCACTCCTTTACTGTTTACAATATTTTCTTACACCACCTATATGTGATATACATATATATATATATATTTATATTGCTACATAGGATATATACACCCTTTTTCTTTTTTTCTTTCTTTCTTTCACATTTATGCATTGGCCCCACGTGTCCCCCTCCCATTACTATATTATATATTTTTAACCTTTTGCCTTACATTAGTTTTGATGGAACTATATTTTAATGGAGGTAATTTTATAAAAGTGGGTTTCAATTGATATTACAAAGAGACAGAAGAAATTAAAAAGAATAAGGAGAATGTGGAAGAAGAGCATTGAGTGGAGGAAATTCTAGACGATGGTTAAAGTATTTAAAATTTGGGTAAAGTACAATGACACTCCGTGAAGTTTGGGATACGGACATATATATACAAGTTATCTTATTTTTAGACAATGACACCCCTTTGTGAGATTTGCAATCCAAGCAGAGCCTTAAAATATGTGAAAAGTGTACTTTACCTTTCACTATTTTATTAATTTTAATTGTAAAATATCAAAATAATTAAATGACCAAATTACCCTTTTCATATATATATATATATACATACACACACATACACACATATATACAACCGCACACTAGTCACCACCACTACAACTACTACCTGCCTGAAGAGCTCTGCCACTGCCATTACACCCATCTTCCCCTTTACCATCACCACCAATCTAAATCTATCGATGGAGTATGAAGAAGAGAATCTCGAATCAGAGATGGGCATTAAAGAAGAGCCGAAGAGGAGCTCTGCCATCGTAACCGCCACCTCATCGGCCTTGCAGGTGACGCTAGCCCAAGTGTGCTCATTTGAACCTTATCGCCTCTATCGTCCGATTTGAGATGTGGTCATTGCATTTGCTGTCCGAGTAGAGCCCTTTCTGTCGCCGAGTATTATGACTACGAGACCCATCTCACCCGACTCTTTATTCAAGAGGTTATCGCCTTCGTAGTCTTATTAGAGCCCTTTCCCATCGATCACACAATACAGGATCTCCTTGTTGTTCCGTCTAAGTCCCTTTGGTTTAAGCTCAGAGTTCACCGGAACAATACATCAATTAGGGTCATTCAAACTTTGCCTATTTGGCCGACGATGATAGAGGCTCACATGAACTTATGGTCTCTTCGGTTGATGATCATTGATATTGCCGGTGTGAACTGGGTCGAGAACTAGAGGTGGTGATGTGTGCAGATAAGGATATTGCTACTGCTGATGATGATAGTGTGGTGGTTGTGGCAGTTGAGGTGTGATGATGATATGGTGGCGGCAGTATATGTAGTGGTGGTAGTGATATATGTGTGTGTGTGTGTGTGTGTGTGTATGCGCGCATGTATATATATACACATACAGAGAGAAAAAAAGAGGGTTCTCAGATGGGTTGTACTTAAGAGGGGTTTGGGTTAGGGTTTGGGTTAGGGTTAGGGTTTGATCTAAGGGTATTTAAGTCAATTAAAATATTAATTTTATATCAAAGGGTAATAAAGTCAATTCACCATTATCAGGATCTCTTTGTCAATTTTTTTAAACTTAAAGGGGTGTCATTGTCTAAAAATAGGCGAACTTGGACATGTCTGTCCTTACTTCAAGGGGTGTCATTGTACTTTACCCTTAAAATTTTATGTTCCAATGGTTAGAATAGGAAAATTATTGCGTTGCCATATCAGCAAGCAATCGTCCAAAATTAGATCAAACTATTCGGCCTATTTAGCACTAGTGCACTACCCTTGGGCGCAAATCCTCTGCTGTGCAATTTTCGTGTTGTCTACTGTAGTGAGTGATAAGTGGTATTGGTTTAGGTATGTTTTACTCCACTTAATATACATTAAGACTGTGTTTGGTAATTGCACCACCATTTATAAGTATCTTCACCTTCAAAATAAGGCATGCACATAATGCAGACCAAGTAATATTACATAGAAATGTAACTCAATTCACCACCATTTATAAGTATCTTCACTCTCAAAATAAGGTATGCACATAATGCAGACTAAGTAATGTCACATACAAACGTAACTCAATTCAACATATCATTTATGTTATAATTCGAAATTAAAGTATTTTAAAAACGCTTTAACATGTTAATTTAAAGAATTTAAACCAAAACTAAAATCACTTGTATTAACTTTAGACAACAAATAAAACACTTGTTGTTTCCAAAAATAATGAAAAGGGCCACAAATTTTTTTTTTTCTTCCAAATATTAAAAAAACATACACTTAGGTATAAATTATATAACATATCTTTGAAATTTTTTTGGCAAAGTTTAATATTAATTGCCACACTCACCACTTTCACCATCAAAAGAAAAAAATTGGCAAAGTTTAATATTAATTGTCACACTCACCATCTTCACCATAAAAAAAAGGTATTCACATAGTGCTGAAATACTAATAGTCACACATAAATCTAACTCAATTTAACATATTATTTATATATTTTTTAAGTTAAATTTTATCATAAAAAATAGAATAATAATAAAAAAATAGTCACATGTTAATTTAAGAGTTAATTACAACGACACCCCCTGAGGTTTGTTATAATGACACTCATATACAAGTTAGACGCTTTTTGGACAATGACACCCCCTGACAAAATTTGGAACCAAACAGACCCTTAAAAGGTTTGAAAAGACAAAATTGCTTATCAATATTTAACTAATTTTAATTGTAAAATATTAAAATTTTAAAATGACACTTTTGCCCTTATACCAATCTCTTCTAACTCATCGATCCCCACCCCCTTCTCTCTTTTCACCCGCTATCATCTCCTCAAAGGCAGCCCTTTAACCACAACCACCGCCACTTATCCTCAGCCACATCCCACCGCCACTATCTCCTCAACCTCAACCGCCGCCATCATCTTCTTCTCAATCACAGCCGCCGCCACCACTTCTTCTCAACCACAGCCGCCACCACCGTCTCTCTCCACCCATTGGTGATTGCACAGTATCACATCTCTTATCACCACCATGCTTTGTGCAAAAATAAAGAGAGTAGCAACCTACAGATCAATCCAGATCCATTTGCATCATGAAACCGTGGTCGGAGGTTACGGCGGAGGTGGTGGTGGTATCACCGGAATTATCTAAATCAGATTCATTTGATTCCTTTGCGCGGTCTGAAATATCGCTTGAATCTACTCCGAGAAGCAAAAGGCTTAAAGAAATCAGAGGATTGTTGGCCGGCGATGTTTCGAGCGGTGGCGGCAAAATACACTTTGTTCTGTCCACATATCAATATATGTGAGTCGATATATATATATATATATATATATGGTCTGTAACTTAACTTCTATATATATATATATATATATATATATAATATTTCCATATTGACAGACACAGATCGCGCAAAGTGAGTCAATATATATATATCAGGTTATGTATATATTGATCATATTGCAGATCGTCATATTCGCAGATCTCACAAAGTGAGTTTATATATATATATATATATATATATATATATATATATATATATATATATCAGGTAATGTATATATTTATCATATTTGTATACAGAGAGATGTGAGAGAGGTTATTTTGGACATTTCAAATTTATTAGAAATGGGTAATTTAGTAATTTTGCTATTTAAAAGTGTCATGTCATAAGTCAAAGGGCATTTAGGTCATTTTACCACATGTGAGGGTGTCTTTGTCAAAGGCAGCAAAGTTGAGGGGATGTCATTGTTCAAAAGTGGGCTAACTTGTATATGGCTGTTAATAAGGTAAACGTTAAGGGGTGTTATTGTAATTAACACTTAATTTAAAGAGGATTTTGAAGGAGATTATGAGGTATTTGACTGTCAATAATCTTTACTTTTTAAGTGATGATGTTACCTTTTTATAAATGGTGATGTTACTTTTTAGACTCCCGTGATATTACTTGTTACACTCCTGTGATGTTACTTATAAATGGTGGTAAAATATTACTTATAAATGGTGGTGGAATTGCCAAACACAATCTTAGTGTCTATTAAGTATAGTAAAACGTGACCAAACTAAAATCACTTAACACTTAAGACTCACCGGCATGAAAATAGTACAATAGAGGATTTGCGCCCCACTGCCCTTCTTAAAATATGCAAGGTAATTAAACGGTGACCGAATGTTGTGACAGAATGTTGTGGAACCAAATGGCTATCAAATTATAATTATATTTTTTATTCAGTATCTTAGTTTGGCTTGAATTTTGAGAACTCAAGAATGTGGTGGTTCAATACAAGTAAAATGTCTGTGGGGCTCTAGAAAGTCGTAATGAAACGACAGATTTGTTAAAAAAATCACGTGATACAAAATTAAGAAAACATTTTCATTTCTTAAATTTGGTCATACATAGTGACAAAAATGGTACTACAATCGCAATGTTACACGGCACATGGAGCTGTCAGTGGAGACTACAAATTCCTGCCTCTCAATTGTATATCCTTTGATAACCTCGTATGAAGTCACGAGGAGCCGCCAATGGAGACTAGAAGTTCCTGCCCCCCCAATTGTATGAGAGACGACTGACTGTATACAAAGCGAAAAGTGTCTGAAACGCTAACATAGCAAAGAGCTCTGAAGTCTCACACAATTAATTTGGCAGAGAGGGAAATATGAAAGAATCATATCCGATGAATAGCGGAGATGGCACTTACAGCTACACCAAGAACTCCACCCATCAGGTAAGTAGATTACACGCTTCATATATATATATATATATATATGTATCTATATCAGCAACTGGGTATTTGGATGTCTTATTGACCCCAATAAAAATAATTCTTTCAGTTACTTGTAAGGGAAAACATCTATATTTTCACTTAAAGGTATTCAAATTCTAGAAACAGAAAAAGGAATCTGATATTTGTCTTCACACAGTTTGTCCCCAGAGAAAGTCAGAGCCTTGGTGTAAGGTTACTCCATTATGTTCTGTAAGTCATGTGTTTGAAATAAGGAATTTCTGCAATGAGGAGAGACTCGTGCATTGAATTTACCTTTTTTACAGTTTGCTCCCATAATTGAAAATTTTAAAACAGATAATGCTAGACCCAATAAATTGGTGGCTGAAGTATAAATCTTGAATTTTAGGTTCTTTTTTTCTTTTGGAATTTGCTTAATTTTGTAGTCCATTGTGAGTCTGCAATATTATATGATCGAGTCTCATTTTGACCTAAATAAATGTTGTCAAACAGATATTCAATATTATATGAGTCTCATTTTGAGCTAAATATATGTTGTCAATATTTGGATGTGCTTATAATAATAGTTGTTTTATGGATGCCGCTCTCGAATTTTGAATAGCAGATTTCAATAACTATACCATATTGGATAATCTTTAGGATATAGCGATACCATTTGGTACAACAGATTTCAGGACTATAATTAATTGGATTTGTTAATGATTATCAAAGGAACAACACCGAATCTGATAGCAATGGCAATGATAATTATAGCACCAAGAGCAATAACATCTTTTGCCGGTTTTACAGAGAGAAGTTTATGATGTTGCTAAAGAAATGATCAATGAAGCAATTGCAAAGAAGCTTGACATGAAAAGCCTCATTTCTTATTCAAGCACGTTACTCATAGCAATGGCAATGATAATTATAAATCTTGAATTTTAGGTTTTTTTTTTTCCTTTTAGAATTTACTTAATTTTGTAGTCCATTTTGAGTCTGCAATATTGTATGAGTCTCATTTTGAGCTAAATATATGTTGTCACAATGGTGGCCTTTATCTGTTATATATATATTTTAACTGATGTGTTTATAATACTACAGTTGTTTTATGGATGCTGCTCTCCAATTTTGAATTGCAGATTTCAATAACTATACCATATGTTAATTTCTTAGTTCACTTGTATAATCTTTTGGATATAGTGATACCATTTGGTATCACAGATTTCAGGACTATAACTAATTGGATTTGTTAATGATTATCAAAGCAACAACACCGAATCTGATTGCCATGGCAATGATAATTTTAGCACAAAGAGCAATAACATCTTTTGCCGGCTTTACAGAGTGAATTTTATGATGTTACTAAAGAAATGATCAATGAAGCAATTGCAAAGAAGCTTGACATGAAAATCCTCATTTCTTATTCAAGCACGTTGCGCATAGCAATGGCAATGATAATTATAGCACCAAGAGCAATAACATCTTTTGCCGGTTTTACAGAGAGAAGTTTATGATGTTGCTAAAGAAATGATCAATGAAGCAATTGCAAAGAAGCTTGACATGAAAAGCCTCATTTCTTATTCAAGCACGTTGCGCATAGCAGATTTGGGATGTTCAGTTGGGGCAAATACCTTCATTGCCATGCAAAATGTACTTCAAGCCATAGAAAAAAAGTATCTTTCCCAAGGCCTTGCCTCTAAAGTGCCCGAATTCCAAGTGTTCTTCAACGATCATGCTACCAATGATTTCAATACACTTTTCACATCCCTCCCTCAGGATAGGCAATACTTTGCTGCTGGAGTGCCAGGTTCATTCTATGGCCGCTTATTCCCAGAGTCCTCTCTCCATTTTGTGTATTCCTCCACTGCACTCCAATGGCTCTCTCAGTTGCCTGATGCGTTGCTTGACAAAAAATCACAAGCATGGAACAATGGAAGAATTTACTACACAAGTGCCTCGGAGGAAGTAGCAAATGCTTATGCAGCTCAGTTTAGAAAGGACATGAAGATGTTTCTGAATGCCAGAGCTAAAGAGATTGTGGCTGGAGGTATGATGGTAGTGCTCATGCCCGGTTGTCCGGATGATATCCATTATTCTCAGCGCTCAGCAGGTCTGATGTTTGATTTCCTTGGGTCTACTCTCATGGATATGGTGAATGAGGTAAGTCAATAATGATTAGCTTTTCAAATTGAAGTCCGAAAAATTTATATTGCACTTATTGCAAACCTTTATTATAGGGATTAGTGAGTGAAGCTCAAGTGGATTCATTTAACTTGCCCGTGTATTGTCCCTCCCCCAAGGAGATAGCACGTCTTGTAGAAGAAAACGGGTGTTTCAGGATTGAGAGAATGGAGTTGATGGATCCCAGGTCAAACATGAATTCCCCATATGATGTGCATAAATTCATAATGCACGTAAGAGCTTTCCTGGAAGGAGTTTTCACCAAACATTTTGGAAGTGAGATTGTTAATGAAATGTTTGAAAGGATTTTTCAAAAAAGTTCAGAGTTTTCCTGCGTGTTGGACGAAGGCGACAAGCAAAAAAATATAGTATTTTTTATTTTGAAACATAAATGATACGAGTTGGAGATGGTCTTCATCTTGGCCTCAGTACAAGGGTAATTTGCATGTCTTTTCTCTCTCCCTCTCTTGTTTTTGTTGTTGTATTGTACTGGGATAAATAATCCATTATTGGCTCAATAAAATGGGTTTAAACTCAAGTGTGGGATGTATTTCTTGTTGGAATCAATAGATTAAAACATTGAGTATCTAGGCTTAGAGGCGCGTAATCGCTTCTTGAAGATAGTTGAAGCCTCTCCCACGTGCAACGGAAAACAAATGGCAGCACTATCTCCGAAATTCAACTAAGCCCAGATATCAAATCTATGCGTTCATGAATGTTGCATTTCTTCTTCATGAACCTGTGTATTTATCTCCGTCCGATCAACTGAAAATATAAAATTCACACACTCAAACTCAATAATTTGAAAATACTTTTTCAAATCTCTTTTTCTTTCTTACTTGTATTGAGAGTGTGTATTTTGTAGGATTCGTAAACATACTATTTATATTAGTAGAAATGGGAATGTAATTAACTTGGTATTGATGAACATATATTCATTATGTTCATAAATAACATATTAAATAAAGTAGATTAAATGTATCAGGTGAAGAACTTTTAAGTTTAGCGTTTGTAAAATACTTAAAGTCTTCATAAATATAGATTAATAAAATCAATTTGAAACATAACTCCAACAATTCCCCACTTGTTTCAAATTTCTTTTGTTGATCGGTACCTTCATGTGCATCAATAATGGTGTCTTTTGGACTTGAACCATTACCTAGTGTAAGTACCCTTGATTTCATCTAGGAACTTGGTGAACGATGTCTTGAACCAAGAACCACGTTGATGGATAAGAAATACTACACACACACATCTATTCGGAGATAAAGTACTAAAGCTTGACACGTTTTGGCCATGTGTCCAGAATCCATACTTTTGAGTGTCGTTAAGGATCAAGCCTGTCTAGATCTTATAGAAGCGGCCCTACTTCCACACTCAGATCGGTGTGTCCATCAAGAGTGACCTTGCACAGTCCAACCGAATACTAGTTATGGACTCATTAAGAGAATTTAATCTCATTATCCTCATTGCAAGATAAATCGGTGAATCTATCAAGAGTGATTGTGTACACCCCAATCGAAAATCCGATCTATAGAATTCATTAAGAGATACAAATCTTAGCCTTCTCAAAGGTTAGTCAATGAATTTATCAAAAGTGATCTTATACACTCAAATCGAAAATCGATCTATAGATTCATTAAGAGATCTAAATCTCAACCTCCTCAGTTACAGGATTGAGCACTCAAATCACATCATAGGGAAAGGAACATTGATGTGCTCACACAAGTTGTTATGTTACTTGTTTTTCCCATTGAACACATGAGAAATATCACTGGGTTGGGTTCCCATAACATCACAACATCGATTACAGGCTCTTTCCAATCCATTTAGATGTCTTGAACACAAGGTCCCTTCACATGTCTTTTGACAGTGGATATGCCAAATGAGATATGGCCTTAGACATTAAGTCCTTTCACATGTCTTTCGACAGTGGATATTGTAACGACCCTAAACTGATACCATTTAAAAAAAAATTTTGGCATGACCTCCCCTAAAAAATGGGCCTACCACAACCTGTTTAAATGCATTTTTAACATGTCCCAGCACAATAAATATATAATACATTCCAACATCCGTTTCATCCATTCACCATGCCTTAACTTAGTTCATTTCATAGTGATACAACCACATACTATATCATCCGAATATCATAATTACAGTCCCAAAATACAAGATTAATATCAAATGTCCATATTTTACAACATTTAGACAGCTCATACAAAAGTACCAGCCCATAGGTATAATTATAATAACAAGAGTTCACAAACCTCTATACCGAATATAATAGACTAAGCTTTTACAAAAAAAAAAAAAAAATATGGGACTGAATACAAAAATAGCAAAAAAGTCTTCTAATCCAAATTAGGCCTGTGGTGGAAAGTCATCTGCTACTTCTTTCCCGTTTCCTGAAAAAAATTATTAAATAATAGGGTGAGCATAAAGCTCAGTAGGTAGCACTTAAGACACGCATCTTGTGTCCTTGTGAATCCATACAAAGAATAGATCAATGGGAATAGGGATCATACAATGTTGGGATAATACAACATTTCAACTTAACTAAAGTGCAAACAATACAATGCCATGAAATGCAAATGCATGCCCATGTCGCTCTCCATTTCCACATTTCAAACCATCACTTTCAAACTGTTAATACAACCCGCCCTTTGGTGACCCCGCAGCGGCACGAGAGGAGGATTGGCTACTGTCCTTAGACCTTTGGTAACCCCGTAGCGTCATCGAGGGGCCCAGATAGCTCAACCATGCTAGGGCGACTCCCTAGTCCCTTCTAAGCTATATTAACACTCCGGCCCTTTGGTACTCCCGCGGCGACCGGATTTTCATAAAACCATTTCGTAAAAACTCTTTTCCCAAAATTTCCCTTTTTGTTCTAAAACAATTTCTCCCATTTCATGCCCAATGTAAGTGCATAAGTGCATCAGTACCATGAATATACTTATCATTCCACAACCAACTCAATTTAAGTAAACAAGGCATAATTTCACAAGAATTTCTCAAAGAATTTCAACATGCTCTTATATAACAATACATCTAGCCTAATGAACATATATAAATCATCACATAGGTAAGTTTTCCACATAAAACATTTAATACAAGCTCTTACATAACCACATACACATGTTCTAACTACTTCTAAACTACAACTAGCACAAATAAGCATGTCCTGCAACAATTTAGAAGATGTAATTCACATAGGAGTAAGAAAATTGTGGATTAAAAGTCCCTACCTCAAGATTGTATAAAACCCTTGAAATGGGTCTCTAATTTCGAACTCCATAGGAAGCACCAAATCTGAAATTGCTTACACTAGCGTGTAGAGCTCGTCATGGGCTTTGTTTTGCCTTAAACGGCTCTCAAATCTACCAAGGAATGATGGAGAAATCAAGCCTTAAATTTGATGTGGAAAAGAAAAAGAAAAAAAAACCAGTGTGCGAGAGAAAGAGCCAAACGTGAGAGAATACAAAAATGAAATCAGCCCAATGCCACTAATCTAAATAGCTTGTGGGTCCCACCTACTTTCCTTTTTATTTTCCTTTTTCTTTTCGTTTTAAACTGCACCACACACACACAAATATATACACATATGCATACACACACACACATATATATATATATTAGACACAGACATTACATTCTCCCCAACTTTAAAAAAGATTTCGTTCCCGAAATCAAGACATACCTAGAGAAGAAAACTACTCTGGATACTTGGAGCGAACCTCCTGTTCGAGCTCCCAAGTAGCTTCCTCGACTCCGTGGTGTCTCCAAAGGACTTTCACCATTGGTATCGTTTTGTTCCTCAACACCTTCTGTTGTGTGTCAAGAATCTGAACTGGTCCTTTCTCGTAGGAAGCATCCTCATCAATGTCTACATCAACCCAACTCAAAATGTGAGATGGATCCGGCTCGTACTTCCGTAACATCGATACATGAAAGACATTGTGAACCTTGTCCAACTGTGGTGGCAAAGCAAGTCTGTAGGCAACCTCTCCTACATGGTCCAAAATCTCAAACGGTCCAATGAATCGTGGCGACAACTTGCCACTTTTCCTGAATCTTATCAATCCTTTCCATGAAAAAACCCGTAGAAAAACATGGTCTCCCACCTCAAAGGATAACGGCCGTCTCCGCTTATCCACATAACTCTTCTGTCGGCCCTGAGCTGTAAGTAACCTCTGTCTTATCAACTTAATCTTCTCAGTAGTCTCAAGTACAATATCGGGTCCTAAGGCGGCTGTCTCACCTACCTCAGTCCAACAAATAGGAGACCTACAAGGTCTACCATACAACGCCTCAAATGGAGCCATCTGAATACTCGCCTGATAACTGTTGTTGTAAGCAAACTCAATAAGTGGAAGGTGATCCTCCCAACTACCACCCAAATCAAGCACACATGCCCGAAACATATCCTCCAAAATCTGGATAGTACGCTCAGACTGACCGTCAGTCTGTGGATTGAATGCCGTGCTCAGATGCAACGCTAAGCCAAACGCTGCTTGAAGTCTTCCCCAGAACTTCGAAGTGAACTTGGCATCCCTATCTAAAACAATGGTTACTGGAGCTCCATGCAACCTTATAATCTCCTTCACATAAAGAACACCAAGTTTCTCTGCATCATCTGTTGCCTTAATAGGTAAAAAGTGAGCCGTCTTGGTCAATCTATCAATGATGACCCATACGGCCTCATTGCCCCTCCGTGACCTTGGAAGACCTGTCACAAAATCCATAGCGATATGTTCCCATTTCCACTGCGTTACAGGCAATGGTTGCAATAAACTGGTTGGTCTCTGATACTCGGCCTTCACCTGCTGACAGGTAAGGCATCTAGCCACAAACTGTGCAACATCCTTCTTCATCCCGTTCCACCAATACTAACGTCTCAAATTGTGATACTTCTTGGTACCACTTGGATGAACTGCAAAGTGGGAAGTGTGAAACTCCCGTAAGACGTCCTCACGACAACCTGTGGAAACTACCAACAAACCCTTGAACCGTAGACCCCCATTTGCATGCAAGGCCCAATCTTTCACTGTCTCACCACTAGAGATCAAGGCGTAAATGGCATCTAAATTCGGGTCCTGTCTCTGTGACTCAATCACTCGTACAACAATAGTAGGCTGAGCCACAAGACTAAACAAGAATGCCGGCTCGCTGTCAACATCATCATCAAAACAATACAATCCCATCTCTGCTAGATCTTCAAGCATCTTCCACTTTCAAATGGCCAGACTAGCCAAAGTTCTACGGGATTTCCGGCTTAAGGCATCTGCTACCATATTTGCCTTGCACGGATGATATTGCAAGTTAAAATTGTAATCTTCCAAGTACTCAACCCATCATCTCTGCCTGTTGTTCAAGTCCCTTTGGGAGAAAAAGTACTTGAGACTCTTATGATCCGAGTATACCTCGAATCTCTCACCATACAAGTAGTGTCTCCAACACTTCAAAGCAAACACAACTGTCGCCAACTCCAGATCATGAGTAGGGTAGTTGTACTCGTGAGTCTTCAACTGCTGAGACCCATAAGCCACTACTCTACCATTCTGCATCAACACACACCCTAAACCATC